CCCTCCACCAGAACACCATTCTGTTGATCACACTGGGTCTTTAGGAGGACTCATACAAAAGCTAGAATCTGCTGAAGAAGCCTGTGGATACAGGAAGCAAAGACTAACTGCCTTGACTTGAAGCTAGATTCAAAGCAGTCCTGGAGACGCTGTGAAATGCAAAGACAAGCTGCTGGAGTTCGATAGGACAACCATATGTTGAACCCAGGTCATCAACAGTAAACTGGATTATTTTGCAATGGACTCCAACCACTGGCTCTCCAGGCAATGGAGAGAGGCCTTCCAGAAGCAAAACCAGGAGCTGCACCATGTCTCCTGGCTTGCCAGAGAAGGCTATTGACTAGTCTGGAAGACAGATCCTGGAGGGTGACAGCTGGTTAGCTGAATACCACATCAAACTGGAATGAATTGTTGAAGCCATTACATGTTCAAGCAAAGAAAATGAGCATCTCTAGTTTTGAATAGAGCACGTTATTTAGAACTGATACACATGCAGATATGAAGTAAATTGACAGTTTGAAGCTTTTCACTTGAGAACAGGTTTGAGGGAATAACTAGGATCAGAATAAAACTAATTTATCTTCTTTAAACCTGAAATTTGTTTGAGAATGTACTTCCTCTTTGTTTGTTTGGTTTTTTTGAGGTTTTTTTTTTTTTTTTTTAGAACTCATTCTTCTTTCACCAATGGTTTTAGTACCAGAAATCTTACCCTCCCTTCTGTCAGAGGAGAAGGAAGAGTATCTCGACATATTTACACTGACAAAACCAGACTTATTTGGGTCTTCTAACTCATGATTTTTTAAAAAAAGAAGTTGTAGAAGTGTGCAATGATTAAACATGAAATCACCCAAAACCTAATCCCAACTTTGTGAAAAATGACATCTATGTTCTTGGCAAGTCTTCAATCATTTTCAAAATTCCACAATTTTATGGTAGTCACCTAAATCCAAGTAATCTTAATTTTGCCACTGTTAGAAACAGAGGTATGAGCTTGTGGCTTGGAAAGAAGTCTTAGGCACAGTTATCTACAAAATGCAATCCTATTTTTGTCTGTTTTAATCGCTACCACAAACGAAACAGACAACTGAATGAGTTTATCTGCTGATTCAGCAGTGTGAGAATAAATAATAGTTTTCCTTACATATTGTTATGACTTAATGCTATTTTTATAATCATTTCGCTGACAGGTGTCAAACGTGCTTAATATCCTTCTCACTAAAGATGCTCATAATTGCTCTTGCTATGGAGTTTGAATCCACTAGCAGTCCTTCATATCTCAGACATTAAAGCTGGAATCAGTGAAGATCTGCCACTTCATTATAGTTGCAGAAGTCCCTAATCACTTGCAATGCTTCTAGTATCTCTTTTTGCAAGTTCAACCTAACTTTGCTATTTGCCCTTCCTATACTGTGTCCCTGGTATTCATGTTTGGCATGTCAACCATCACGTTTTACATATGAGATCATACAGCTACAACACATTTTTTCTTAAGCACTTACGCTACTTTGCAAGTGCTCTGTCAGTTATGCTGAGATGGCTGCCTGTGCGGTCTTCACAGTCTAATGGATTGCTGTGTGTGTGCGCACCTATGTGTTACAATTGGAAATATTAATGCAGTGGAAAGGCAATACAGAAGTGTAACAGTAAAGGGACTGCGCAGATGGGATGGGATTACAAAGCAAAAGGTGCTCACCTGTCTCCAAAGACCTAGGCTTGCAGGAAAGACTCCACAAGCAAGAGAGCTTCAACCAGAGAACCTTCCAGAGTGGCAGTCAGCCCTTAAATGAGGTCTAGGAGAGATGGAGCCAGGCTCCACCCCTTCCAGTTGCGTAGGTGAGTTGTCTTCAGCTGTTCTCCTAGAGCTGACCCAGTCGTTTCCCTAGGTGCTCAATCATGGCCAGTTCAGGCCATGACTCAACAGTTACCACACAATATGTATACAAATTATGGGTATTTATACATATATGTTCATTGTGTTAGTATATGGAAGAAAAGACATATACATTAAAAGCTTCTATTCAGGTCTACAGATGGAGGAGATAGGTGGACTGTCACATTTGTTCTTAGTACAAAAAGTGAGTGCTTGCTCTCACCAGTTAAACATCATATGCTGCAAGTAGTTCAATACTCTCCACTTAGCCCATTCATATGCAATTATTTTCAGACAATCCATATGCGAATACCTTCTGCTAATTCATTGTGAAAATCATTGGAATTCTACAATATTGCAATCTATTACAGGGGGAAAAATGAGTATTAAACTCAGTGTATGCAAATTTCTAGAAGGCTCTGCAAGTGGTGCTTCAATGCCGGGTTATTCAATGATATGTAAAGTGAAGAGCTAATGCTGCACTTGTTTGTGTAGGATCCGCCAACTAATATTCCCATAGGAACTATTCAAGGCATTAAAAATATCCTGTCTCATGTCTTCCTGTGCTGTAAATGGAGAGCTGTTCTTCATATGGGTGACCCCAGGAAGAATTTTCAACAACTGCTGCATAAAAAGTGTATTTTTTTTTATTCTACTTATTGTTTTCAGATGCAGAAGGCTGTAGTGCTTCACTAATAGCATGTGTTTGTGTAATATGATGCCATGAACCATAAAAAAAGTCAAGAAATAACTCATTTAAGTAATAAAGGAAACCAAAAGCAGCAGGAAGTTGTCCTTTTTCACCTCATAAAAAGCATAAACAGTGATCAGTGCCTCTGGGACAAAACCATTGCAGGCTTCTTAGGGAAAGGTTAATCTCAGTGTCTAATTGCAGTCCTTGTAAAATCAACTGCGGGCTTAATAACAGCATCTTCTCTTTATTCTACCCCTAAAAACTCAATTTTTATGACACCTATGTTGAAAGGAAAATGCTACTTCTTCAATTTCATATTTGTTTCTTATTTATTCCTGTTAGTTCAATTAAAGACAGTCAGGCAAGATGTGTGGGAAGATGGATACAGTAGCTGCTGTGTGTAACGGAGGAGCTGGAATGTATGGAACAGTCAGTTGGCAATAACATGGTTGAGAGCCTATGGGTGAGGATTAAGGGACAAGGAAATAAAGGGGATATCGTTGAGGGAGTTTGCTATAGACCACCCAGAGAGGACAAGACAACAACACTGATGAATTATTTTGAACTAAAAGAGACATCTAGATCAACTGCCCTTGCTGTTATGGGAGATTTCTTGCAAGACGTAAATTGCCAGACACAGCTGATACAAACAGCTCCAGGAGATTCCTAAAACATCCTAGTGACAGCTTCCTGGTACAGGTACTAAGGGAGACAATTAGGAGAAATACCCTTGTAGAATCATTTCTCATGAACAGAAAACTGTTGATAATGATAGGACAAGGGGGAATGGTTTTAAACTAAGACAGGGGAGATTTAGGCTAGATATTTAGAAAAAGTTTTTCACTGAGAGAGTGGTGATGCACTGGAACAGGTTGGCAGAGAGGTTGTTGATATCCCATCTTCGAAAGTATTCAAGGCAAGGCTGGATGTGGGTCTGGGCAGCTTGTCAAGTGCTTGGCAACCTGCTCACAGCATGGGGATTGAAATTAGATGAGCTTTGAGGTCCTTTTCAATGCACGCCATTCTGTAATTTTATGAACTTATGGATGAAGTGGTGATTAGTGACTGTCTTGGCTATAGGGAACACAAACTGGTCAAATTTAGAATATTTTTTGTAGAAGGAAAACTGACACGGAAATCTCAACCCTGGACATGGAAAGAGATTTTAAGCTGCTTGGGGAACTAGTTATTTAGTTTCCCTGGAAAACTATTTCTGATGGTGTTGGGGTCCATCAGTGTTGGTCAGTTTTTAAGTACCACCTCCTGAGAACACTGGAACAAGTAATTCCAAAATATCGGAAGTCAAGAAGGTAGGGCAAAAGGCTGGCTTGGCTGATCAGGGATCTTCTTCTAGAACTTAGGCAGAAAATGAAAGTGTGTGGCTGCTACAGTTCAGTGAGGGACAATAAAATGGATTTTTAAAAATATGTTAACAGAAGGAGGATCAGAGAGAATATGAGCTCATTACTTAATGAGAATGGTTATCTTACATATGGGCATAAACAAAGCAGAGATGCTTAATGTCATCTTTGTCTTCAAAGCTGATGGGCTCTGGGACCACAGGTGCTCAATTTGGAGGAGTGTGAACGTGGTAACAATCAACTCACAGAAAACTGTAGACTTGTGCTGCTCCACCTGGATGCATATAAGTCCATGGTACCCATCATCCCAGGGTACCCAAAAAGTTGGCCACATTATTACAAGATCTCTCTCAATTTTTCAATGCTTTTGGGAATCTGGAGAGGTCCCAGTTATCTGGAAAATGGCAAATGTTGTTTCAATTATCAAGAAGGCCAAGAAAGACCCTGGTAATTACAGGTCTGTAAGTTGCACTTGGTTTCTGGTAAAATTGTGGAGAAAATGATGCTGGGAGTTACTGAAAAGCACACAAAGAACAATGCAGTCATTGGTCACAGCCATTATGGGTCTTAGCTTCAACTGGGATAGTTATTTTTCTTCATAGTATCTGGTATGATTATATATTTTGGCTTTAGTAGAAAAACAGTATTGATAACATACCAACATTTCTAGTTGTTGCTGTGCATTGTTATGCAGAGCCAAGGATGTTTCCACATCCTCAACTTTTCCTGCTGTCCTGCCAGTAAGGGGACTGGAGAGGCAGAAGAAGCTGGAAAAGGACAGAATCAAGATAATCTAAACTGGCAAATGAGATATTCCATACCATATGATCTTGAGGGAAGAAAGCTTGAAGAAGGGAGAAAGTTCATTGGGCAGGCTGCTGTTTCTTGGAGATTAGCTAGGTGTATGGGAACTGCTGAATCACAGCCTGAACCTCTGATTAATCACCTGAGGCGAGCAATGAGTCAGTCATGGGAGCCCAAGTGAAGGCAATTCACCTGTGCTGCTGGAAGGTGTGGAGCCTGGCTCCACCTCTCCTAGACCCATTTAAGAGCTGACTGCCAGCAGGGGAGCCCTGGAGATGCCCTTCTCTGGAGTTTCATAGCAAGCCCAGCATATGGGTAAGTATTCTATCTATCTATCTATCTATCTATCTATCTATCTATCTATCTATCTATCTGTTTTGGTATAATAACTGCATAAGCAAACTGGTATATTTCATAACTATAACATCTGTATGTTCATTGATTATGCACACTGGACATCTGTCAGTGGGTGTGAGCAATTGCTTATGCATTGTGTGTTTTATATATATCTGTAAATATATTTATATATGATTATCATAGCTATTATCCTTGTTTTCCTTTTCACTATCTTAGTAAATAGCTTTTAGTAAATATCTTTTACCTCAACCCATCAGTTCCATTTGTTGGTTTTTTTTTTTTTTTTTTTTTTTTTTTTTTTTTTTTGGTGTGTGCATGTGTAACTTTTTTTTTTCTTTTTCCTCTGTCTCTCTTGAAAGGGAAAGGAGTATGTGAACAATTGTGTGCTGCTAAGCTACCTCCTGGGTTAAACCACAACAGTCTTTTTGGTGCCTTGTGTGAGACTTGAAGGGTTGAGATAACAGAAGATCTCACTGAAGAGTGTTAACATATGTTTTTTGCAGTTGTTGTGGGTAGTTTAGTAATTGCTATTCACAACACTATTTTTTTTATTGCTTGTGGAGTTCTCTCAGAGTTTTGGGACTGTATTGTTTAGCACCTTACTTGCTGTTTGTTTTCCCTGTTATGTTCTTGTCACAATTGGGGATGGGATTAAAGTTTTTATTTTGCTATGCTATGTGAGCTTGACTAGTGATCTAGAAGTTTTATGATGAAACTAATCTGGTGTTTGTACTCTGCATTGCAGTCATCTCTGTGCTTTGGGAACAATATTGTGGAGGCTGTTAGTAATTACAGTTTTTGCTTTGTCTCCCTAGTGAGCTGGGATACAGAAGAGTCACGGGAGGACACTTTCCACTGCTACCTCAGCTTCCTTCTCTCTTTCACTTCTTCTTCCCCTAGACCGTTTGCTAGTCACTTCACACTTCAAGTATGCAGCTTCACCTACTGTGTGCAGTGCAGATGCACTACAGTACAAAAGGTATATAAAACTACTAGAGAGTGTACAAAGGAAGGCTACAAGGCAGGTGAAGGGTCTGGAGGCCAAGATGTATGAGGAGCAGATGAGGTCCCTTGGTTTCTTCAGCCTAGAAAAGAAAGAGGAGAAAGATTGCAGATTAGCCCTGACTAGGCAACCACTTTCATTATTCTGAGCCGGGTCAAGAGAAGAGACTTTCAAATGCTGATTCTCTGTGCTTCCTCCTGATAAGAAAGAAGAGTTTGTTAGATCTGGAAACCGAGAGAGGAGAAGAGAGGAGCTGGAGCGCTTAAGCTTTTCAACCTTGTGTTTGGAAAAATATGGGACTGGATGAACACTGAAAAGGTCAAAGAAGAAGCAGATGATGTTTTGTTGGATAGTTGTGTACAGGATCTATTGTTTGAAATAAAAATCATGATTTCATTTTCATTCTCAACTGATGGGGGGAAAAAATGAAGTTATTAGACTTTTCCAGAGCTATTGATGATTTGTTCATGTTTAAAGTACATTATTTTACAAAGGGACGTAGTATTCATTATTTACAACTATTTTTAATGTTGTTAACCAGCTTTTGGGATTTTGAAGTTTTTTACATTTTCACATTCAGAAAAATAAATAAATGAAGATCTGAGTGGATTTTTGCCAAGGCTGTTGCATATGTTAAAAATAAATAAATAAATAAATAATCTAGTTAAGTCAATTCCCTAAATAATATTTAGGTAAATTGTTAAGTTACTGATTCAAGTTGTCTCAATAATTGCACTGCTCTCAGTACTGTTGTTACAAAAATGTAGCCATGTGATGACCCATATATTTTTCCTGGGGAGAAATATGGTATGAATCATGCATTTATATGCACTATCAATGTAGCATAGCTGGAAATACTCAATATATTATCTTAAGTGGTCTGGCTTGTATAAATGAACACTAACTTCTACGCTTATATATCTGAAAATTATTCAACTTCTTCCAGCTACAAGAAACTGATGTTAAAAATTTATTATAAATAGCTTTGCCACTTAATTGCATTGATTATAATCAGATTGCATGGAAAAAGATAAAGGTAAGTTAACTATCTGTATAACCAAGATGTTATAATTGCAATATAATCAAAAGAGTAAGGCAAAGCTGTATAATCAAGATGTTATAATTGCAATATAATCAAAAGAGTAAGGCAAACAAGGATCACAAAAGAGAATAAGTAGAAGAGCTTACCCTTGGGTTGAGCTCACTAGAAGATATCAAAGAGGAGGATCTCCAGAAGAGATCCTTCCCCTCTGGTAGCCAGCTCTTAAATAGGTCCAGGAGGGGTGGAGCCTGGCTCCACCCCTTCCGGTAGCACAGGTGAATTGCCTTCACCTGTGCTCCTCTGGCTGACTCATGGCTCACCTCAGGTGATCAATCAGAGGTTCAGGCCGTGACTCAGCAGTTGCCATACACTATCCTAATATTCATTCATATAATTTCTGTTCCCTTTGAGCAAGACTGTATAGCAGATGTGCTAATGAAGTCACCAATTTCTGTCACTAGTAAAGTTCTCGGGGTGGGGTGGGGGGGGGGGGGAGGGAAAAAGCAGGCATGAAAACAGATGACTTCTGTGTCTGTGCTGGATGTTAGTGATAATCTTCGGATAATGATTCTGTATATCCCATCTCTAAATCAGGCCAGCACTTTAAAGAATAACAACTAAAAAAATAATGGCCTTCTAATGGCCACCAAATACTGTAGGACACTTCTGAAAGATCAGATCCTGACACAAATAACTTTAAGCAGCAAGGACTTCCAGTCACCAAAGATGTGCAAAATGCCATTATCAGATTCAAAAGATCTGGAAAAATGGTGAAAATGATCATCTAATGATGTTAATACTATTCCTTATCTGACCAACTTATTGTAAGCATTATGTAGCACATAAGCAGCTACAAAGAATATCTTACTACAAAAATGATACTGTAATATACTGATTATTCTATGTGCATAATGCTGGTTCCATTATTCTCAGCATTTTTATATCAAGTGGATAGTGCTTTGAAGTGAAATGACAAGAAGATATTTACAGAACAGTGTCTTTTTGTCTGCTCCACAAACTCAAAAAAAAAAAAAATCCAGTTTATCTTTATCTCTAGATTGTGATAATGTTCATGCATCCCAGTTTTACTGTTCGTAATAACTGTTTTTTCACAGTAGTTGTGATGGTATTTGTTCAAGAATGAGTAGTTAGCACTGAAAAGAGTCTCTCTACTGATTATGAGCAGGAGTAGAAACCAGCACACACACACACACACGCACAGTTTTCTTGATAAAACAACCCCTCTCATCCAAAGAATCAGCACAGACTTCTATGTGCCTGTTGAAACTTGTGCAAGTTGTACTCTGAGAATTTAGTTCTCTGATCCTTAGAGCAGAGATCCTTAGAGGATCTTTTGCTCCTTATGTTGGAGCTGGTGAAGAAGTAGACATGTCAGAGCTCTTACCTATGTTGGATTTACAGGTTTATGTATTAGCGGAAAACATACATTTTTCACCCTGATTTGTTTTCAGATGCAATGACATTGTGAAGAAGATAATTTCTGTATGTCTCATTTCAAGGCAAAATGATATATTTGATTATTTAGTTTTCTTTCTTATAGACAATAGCTTTTTAGATGATGTATCTTTATATAGCTAATGTTTGTCTTATCGTCTTTTACTTTTGTAGTACTTTATGGTAGATTTTGTTTGCTTCAAATAGCTAAGCAGAAAGTTAATAATCAGTTTGGGTTTCACTTTTATGTAGAAAGATTCAAAATGGTAACGTACACAAAATGGGGAATGCATCTGCCTGTTTCAAAAAATTCCTTGACAGAAGTATAAATAATAGGTTTTTGAGGTGCAGCCGCAATGGTTTACCCAGGCTCCTCCGTGTCCTACTTTATCAGCTGAATATGAATTTGTTGTTCTGAGAGACTTTCTGCCTCTATTTAGGGTAGACTCAAAGTACATCTTTTTTTCTTCTCTAGTGGTCTGACTAGGAATAATGAGATCTAATATCCATTCTCCCAAATGCAAACATCCCGTGACTTCCAAATAGGCTTTGAAGTATTATAGAGATTTCACTGATAGCTATCACTGATTCACCATATGGAAATGTCAAATGCATTAATTTTCTGTTCCTCTTTGTACCTGACAACAAGAGGTAGCTGGGAACTTGGATATAGATTTTTTTTGTTGTTGTTGTTGTTTTTTAAAAAAAAAAAAAAAAAAAAAAAAAAAGAAACCAAATGAAAACCAACTTTGAACTACTAACATATATTGAGGTTTATTTTGCTCCAGGAGTACTTTGAAATACAGACTACACAGAATAAACAGACAGGACTCTGATTACATCAGATAATAATCAAGCATGAAGTATTGTTAATTAATGAAGCAAATGGTAGCTGATAAATATATGTATAATTTAAAACCTTTGAAACAAAGTTCTTACTGTTAAAGGTTTCTCTTTAGGTTACAAACCTGCTTATCTTGTTATTTCAACAATGGTATTTTACACAGTCATCTCAAACTAAACTAGGATAAAAAGCAAAACAAAAAAAAAAGGTTGTGCAAGGCTGGATTCCATACTGCATTTGCCTTTAATATAAATTAAACTGCATTCAGAACTGTTTAGTCTGCTCTGGCTTTTACCTTGCTGGTTCTTTAAGTGATAATTTTCATTTTCCCTTTTAACTCGATTCTGAGTAAGAAGTGTTTCTAGCTTAGTCTTCAGAAATGCATGAACAGCTGCTCATCTTTTTCCATCTGGCTTGAACTGGCATGCACTTCATTAAATCAGTTAATATACTCAGCATTTCATAATTGTGATTTTTCAATTTACAACTTTATAATGATTACTTTAGTGCTAGCCAAAGGAACTCTTGCTCTAACTAGCTGTTTTTTTCATTCCCGTGACACTTGATTTTAAGGATTGAATATTTAGCAGTCATCTTGTCAGAATTTTATAGTGGGTCAGCCACATATTTCATGTAAGACTGATATCTACTTTTAAATGTTTTTGTGAGTCAGCTTTAGGAATCATCTTGGCTCAAAACTTGCAGATATTTTAGAAAACTATGCTATTTTAACAACCTGAAATTAGCCATGCATAAAATAAACAGTGCATATCTATGCATTTGAGTGCATGTATGTGTATCTAAATATATAATACACAAAATATATCACTGTTAATATTAAATCAGATACACATATGTCATGAAATGACATGAAGAGAGTGTTATTGCAGAAGCCTTCAAGGAAAAGAACCTCAACTACTCTCAGTCATTATCCTGTATTCGCTCATTCACTATGAATTGCTTTACCCTTTGCTTTCTCCCCACAAAGCTACTGTTTGACCTTTCCAGAAAATACACTCATTCATTTCAAGTACACCTATCCCACTTTTTGCTCTTCCAAATTACATGCTCAGTTTTTCAAATGTGTGAATCTTTTTCCCTCTCATATGGTAAAAATGCTGAGATGAAAACAGATAAGCTATTCTATATAATGATAATTATACACCAAGTCCTCTGAGGATGCTGCCCTTCCCCTCCCATCAGAATATTCAAAATGCCTGGAAGAGGCAGTAAATGGAACCAGAACATTAATTCTTTAACGGTGGTTCACATGATATTCTGATGTGGAATACTGACAACAAAAAAAATCTCCAAACCACAATGGTCTTCAAAAGGTCAAGAAAGATGAGTTGGGAAATTATAGGCCAGTCAACCTCATCTCTGTCCCTAGGAGGGTGATGGAGCAATGTGTTCTGGATATAATCTCCAAGAAATTGAAAGAAGGTTATCAGGAGCAGTCAACGTGGATTCAGCAAAGGAAAGTCATGCTTTACCAACCTGGTAGCTGTCTTTGATGTCATCGCTGGCTGGGCAGGGGATTGTAGTGGGTGTTGTTTATCTCAACTTCAGCAAGGCTTTTGACACGGTCTCCCATAACATCCTTGTAGTTAAGCTTAGGGAGGGATAGATGAGTGGACACTGAGATGTGCTGAGAACTGGTTGACTGGTAGAACTCAAAGGGTTATGGTCAGTGGAGAAGAGTCTAGTAGATCTGTATCTGGAATAGATCCCCAAGGATCAGTACTGGTTCAGTCTTCTTTTATGTCTTCATTAATAACCTGGAAGAATGGGTAGCGTGCACTCATTGCAGGTTTGGTGATGATACAAAACTGGGAGGAGTGACTGACACAGCAGAAGGTTGTGCTGCCTCTCTATGATATCTGGACGGGATGGAGAGATATGTGGAGGGGAACCTTATGAGCTTCAACAAGAGCAAGTGTAGTGTACTACACCTGGTGAGGAATAACTGCATGTGTTAATACAGGCTGGGATCTGACTTGCTGGAAAGGACCTCTGCAGGGAAGGGCCTGGATGTCTTGGTAGACAGCAGGTTGGCCATGAGCCAGAAGTGTGCCCTTGTGGTTAAGAAGGCCAATAGTATCTGGAAGTGCATTGAAAAGAGCATTGCAAGATAATTGAGAGAAGTTCTCTTCCCCCTCTACTCTGCCCTGGTGAGGCCACATTGGGAACATTGTTTCCAGTTCTGAGCTCTTCAGTTCAAGATAGACAGGGAACAACTAGATAATGTCCAGCAGAGGGTGAC